GGGGAAAAAAAGACTTTAGCAAAAATGTATTGGAAATATTAAATGAGGACCAGGGAGGTACATCAAAGGACCAGAACACATGCTTTCCATGCTGGAGCTCCAACTTTGTTCCCTTACTACATGTGGTTTTCTAAGCAAAACCCAAGTCAGGAGTAGTTCTCAAGAACGGGTAGGTATCCTTAAGAAAGAGGAGGAGGAGGAAGAGGAGGAGGAAGAGGGGAGAGGAGGAGTAGGAGGGAGGGAGGAAGAGGAGGAGGAGGAGGAGGAGGAAGAGGAGGAGGAGGAGGAGGAGGAATACATTGAAACAACAAATTACCAGAAAGGAAAATGGAAACATTATCCTTTGTGACTGCATCAAAGAAAATATAATAGCTAGGAATGCAATTAACGGTTCTGTGTACTGAAGTTATGAGGTACTATTGAATAAATGGAAAGGAATAGAAAGCTATTGGATAAATAAATATTGTTAAACATTGTTAAAGTGGCTATCATTGCCTAAAGCAGTATGCTAATATTGGCTATCATTACCTAAAGCTTGATGACTTGATATTTCGTTACTCATCGATTTGCTTGAGCAGGTGCCAGTAACGTCTCCATTTGTCCCTGTTGCGTGCTAGTGTAGCCCAATGACATCTGCTCATTCTAGGAACACAAAGAGCCTCAAACTGATCGTTCAGGGTCTTGACGAAGAAGGCTGACCATCTCATAGGTGGGCGGCCATGCGATCTTTTGACGTCCCATGGAATCCAGTGGTAATGACTCTAATCCAGTGGTTGTCTCTAAATCTCATTACATATCCAGCCCATCTGATTTTTGACGCCTTGGCAAAGAAAACAGCGTCCCTGATTCTTGAGCATTGACGGAAGTCGGAACTCCAGATACTTTCTCTCATTTGAATGAAGCATGATACTCCAAGCTTAGTTCTTTCGATTCCTCTTTGGGAGACCCGAATCAAGTTCTCATCCTGTTTTCGTAGGGCCCAGGTCTCTGAGGCATATGTTAATGCAGGAAGAACAGTGTAATCGAAGAGATGTGCCCGGAGCCGAAGGTTCTTCGTCTTCTTAGCTGTTTCTTAGATGCTCTTGAAGGCATTCCAAAAAGCTCTCGTCCTCCAGTGCAACTCAGGTGCCACAACATTTGTCATTTTACTTCTCAACCTAGGTACACATAACTGTTGCATTTGGAGATGGTCGTTCCGTTGAGCGCGATTGGAATGTCAGGAACAAGACTGTTTCTCATAAACATTGTCTTCGTGAGATTCAGCTGCAGTCTGACCTTTCTACACTCACGGTCGAAGTCGGCCAGCCCCCGCTTGGCTAATGTTTAGTGTTACTAGAACGATGTCATCAGCAAAGCGGAGGTGGTGTAGTTGCTGGCTGTCTATCTTCACTCCCATTCCTTCCCATTCCAGTCGTCGCATGACATTCTCAAGGGTGACACTGAAGAGTTTCGGTGAAATGGTATCATCCTGCCAAACCCCTCTCTTGATATGAATGATCACTTCTTTGTAGAATAATGAGATCCTGGTAGTGAATTCATAATATTGCTCATGGAGAATCCTGATGTATTGAGTTTGAATGCCCAGATTGGCTAGGGCTTCAATGACCGCTTCAGTCTCAACAGAATCAAATGCATTCTTTAAATCAATGAATGTTAGACAGAGTGGCATCTTGAACTCCCTAAACTACCTAAAGCAGTGTGCTAATATTTGGCTTAAGATTCCCATTGCATACTTAATCGACATAAAACAAAAATCCTAAAATTGTATGCATTAGAAAATATTCCTAATCATCAAAAAAATCAAATGGATAAGAGACACGGAAATATGTTGCCTTCTTCAACTAAAAAATACAGTAACTAAGCAGTACAATTTATTTACGATAAAAGAGCCAAGACCATGTAATGGATCTGGGTTTAATCACTTGTACCAAGTGGTCCTTAAGAACAAGTAGGCAGTTATTCTGAACCCCGAGGATTATAGCAACTATCACCAAAATAACTGCTTGGTACTAGAATAAAAATAGTCTCAGATCAATGAATCAAAATTAAAAGCTCAGAAGGAACTAATTGACAACAAAAGAAACAGAACATAAAATAAAACAGGGAAAGTTTGAGTAAATATTTGGAAAAAATGAAACAACCACTACCTAACTCCATGCACAAGAAATAATTCAAAATGGATTAAAGACTTGTATGTGAGATCCAAGACTAGCATTTATTAAAGACAGCATAGGCACAGCACACCTCAGCATCAGCCTAGAAGTTGGTTTGGGTATTTGACTCATGGCAAGGGAAACAAAACCAAAAACAAATGAGAAAAATAATCAAACTGAAAAACTTTGTACAACAAAAGAAACTATCACCAAATAGAAAGACATCCTTCTGAATGAGAGATGTTTCTACATATGTTCAAAATGGTATCCAAAATGCCCAAATATATAAATATATTGATATCCAAAAGATATAACTAAACCCAACAGGATCCATCCAGATAGCCTGAAGTGCATGCCTTGTGTGTATGAGGATGTGAATTTAAGGCCTTGGAGGCAAGCATGCTTAGATGTAGCCTATGGGCTTGGAGTACTGCTGGGTTTGGCCTGGGGCATGAGCATTGAATAGGCCTACCAACAGAGCTGGGTCAAGTGTTGTGGATAGTCACTCCTAGCACTGTTGCAGAGATTCCCTACCAGCTCCACCAAAACTAGAGCGGAAAATTAGTTAATAAAAATTAACTAGGTAGCCCTGTTAACAGAAGTGGGCAGAGGATCTGGACAACTCCAAAGAACATACACAGATAGTCATATAGGCACATGAAACATGGATGGTTTCCCTTAGTAGGAAATGCATGGTATGAAGATATTGAAGTTGAAAGCTTTTACTCTAAGATTGGAAACAAGTGGGTCTAGTCCAGCCACTTCTATTCAGTATAATACTGAAGTCAAGGCAGCGAATTCAGGCAAGAAAGAAAAGTAAACAGCTCCCTAATTCAAAAAGAGGAAGTGCAAATTTCAGGGTGTGCAGATGAACTATTTTATTTATGGAATTGTCTAAAGATTACAAATATCTAATAGTTTATTAGACATAATCACTGAATTCAACGAATAGGCAGAATAAAAATTAACATAAAATAGCATTTCTCTATACTGATAATTAAGATAAACCAAACTGTTACAGTAGCATGGAAAGCAATAAAAAATCACTTAATCACTTAATCACTTAACTTCCCGTTAGTCGTCGATTTGCTCGAGCGGGCGCCAGTAACGTCTCCATTTGTTCCTGTCGCGTGCTAGTGTAGCCCAATGGCATCTCTTCGCTCCGGGAACATGGAGGGCCTCAAACCGATCGTTCATGACCTTGACAAAGAAGTCTGACCATCTGCTAGGTGGGCGGCCACGCGGTCTCTTGACATCCCGTGGAATCCAATCAGTAACAGCTCTAGTCCAACGGTCGTCTTTAAATCTCATTACGTGACCAGCCCATCTGATTTTCGACACCTTGGCAAATGAGACAGCGTCCCTGATCCTTGATCGTCGACGGATGTCAGAACTCCGGATTCGTTCTCTCATTTGAGTGAAACGTGATATTCCAAGCATAGCTCTTTCTATTCTTCTTTGGGAGACCTGAATGGCGTTCTCATCTTGTTTGCGTAGGGCCCAGGTCTCTGAGGCATATGTTAATGCAGGAAGAACAGTGGAATCAAAGAGATGTGCCCGGAGCCGGAGGTTCTTCGTCCTCTTAGCTATTTCTTCGACGTTCTTGAAGGCGTTCCAAGCCGCTCTCTTCCTCCTGCGCAGCTCGGGTGCCAGGTCATTTGTCATGTTGACCTCTCGACCTAGGTACACATAGCTGTTGCATTCGGAGATGGTCATTCCATTGAGAGCGAATGGGGCGTCAGGAACAAGGCTGTTTCTCATAAACATTGTCTTCGTAAGATTCAGCTGTAGTCCTACCTTTCCACACTCACGGTCAAAGTCGGCCAGCATTTGTGCCGCTTGGCTGATGTTTGGTGTTATTAAAACAATGTCATCAGCAAAGCGGAGGTGGTGTAGTTGCCGACCATCTATCTTCACTCCCATTCCTTCCCATTCCAGTCGTCGCATGATGTTCTCGAGGGTGGCACTGAAGAGTTTTGGTGAAATGGTATCACCCTGCCGCACCCCTCTCTTGACATCAACGATCACTTCTTTGTAGAATGGTGAGATCCTGGTAGTGAATCCGCAATACAGCTCACGGAGGATCCTGATGTATTGGGCTTGAATGCCCTGATTGGCTAGGGCTTCAATGACCGCTTCCGTCTCAACAGAATCAAAGGCCTTCTTTAAATCAATGAACGTTAAGCAGAGCGGCATCTTGAACTCCCGAGAAACCTCAATGAGTTTGGTTATCGTGTGGATATGGTCGATGGTGCTGAATCCTTTGCGGAACCCTGCTTGCTCACATGGTTGTCCTTCATCTAGTGTTCTGCCAATCCTATTCAGGATGACTCGAGTGAACAACTTGTAGATGACAGACAATAGGCAGATCGGGCGATAGTTGCCAATGTCATGGATGTCTCCCTTCTTGAACAGTAGTACGGTCCTGCTGGTTTTCCATTGAGATGGAACCTTGCATTCAGACAGGTAGCGAGTGAAAAATAAAAAATACAGTAATAAATTTAACGAGTCACACTAAAAACCATAAGATAACAATGAAAGAAGCTGAAGACATGAATGAAACAATAGCATGTGTTCATTTATCATAAAATTGATGTTATTACGATATTCATTACTATCCAAAGTCACCTGTAGATTCATTGCAATCCCTTTTAGGCTCCCAAAGGAAGTTTTTATAAAATAAGTAAAACAAGCCTAAGATATATTGGAATGACAAAATGACCCCAATAGCCAAAGAAGAAAGAAATCCTGAGAAAAAAGATTGGGAGGTTTCTTAATTTTTAAGCTTTATTTTAAAACTATAAGTTTTTTTTAAACTGTGCTACTATCATAAAACAGATACAGAGTAAGACTATACTTTCAGGGATCATTTCTATAGTTCTTTGCTAGAGAAGTTTCTTTGATGATGTAGAGCACCGAAACCATGAGGAGTCAGAGCATCCTCTCCCTGCACATGAAGCCGGTTCTAGGTGTTGCTTTTGCAACTGCCTTTTACCATTGACGACCATTCTTCTGTTCCCTATGAAGAGTGAGAAGGAGAAGATGCAGTCTGAATGGTTTCTTGGGGAAAAAAAAGAAAACCATAAAACCCAAGTAACATGTACATGGACTGATGGAATATACTTAAAAGCCCAGAACTAAATAATTCCATGAATAATTTGTCAATGAATATTTGATGAGGCATCAATAATACTCAATAGACATTAGATACTATTAGAAGAGAACATGGGGATAAAGCTAAAGCACAAAAAACAAAATAAGAAATATGTAGAACTATATAAAATGAGTAACCTGCACAAATAATAGCAGAGAGAAAACATAAGCTATGGGATAGAAAAAAATTTGTATTCTTACAAATGTAATGTGTAAAATTGCAAAATTGGGGATGTGATGAAAAAGGATCTCTCATACACTGCTGGTGGGAATGTTGTCTGGTTCAACTGTTATGGAGGAGAGTATGGAGATTTCTCAGAAAAAATAAGACTAGATTTGGCATCTTACCCCAAAATTCTGCTTTTTGGTTTCTACCCTCAGGATACAAAACCAGTCATCCACAAGGACATATGCACACAGTTATTCATTGTAGTGTGAGCACAAAAGCTAGGATATGTAATTAACCTAGGTGTCCAAAAGAAAAAGAAAAGAGAGAAAACAAAAGAAGGAAATCACAGAAACCTAATTATCACCTAATATCCTAGCTGAAGACAAAAGCAAAAAAGAAACTAAACAAAACATTAGCAAACCAAATTCAACAAAATATATCCAAATGATAATATACTGCAGTCATGTGAAATTAATTTCAGGAGTGGTTCAGTTTATGTAATATACTACAGAAACATGATAAAAATTACATAATTTGAACTAAGTATTAGTGGAAAGGACTTGTATACTGAGATAAATTAGATATTGATAAAAGAAATCAAAGAATAATAAATTGGAAGAGATAATGTGCTCATAGATTGGTAGACTACTATTTTTATAAAATTTTTATTCTACCCAAAGAAACCTATAGATTCAGTGTAATCCCTATCAAAATTCTAGTGACACTTTTCACACAAATAGAATATTCTAAAATTTATATGAAAACACAGATTGAAAAGAAGTCTTAACATAGATTAAGACAACTCATTTCCTGATTTCAAACTATTACAATGGTACAGTAATCCAAACTCTGATACTGATATGAAAATAGACACATGGCCCAATGGAGGAAAAGAGAGAATCCCAAAATAAACCTGTGCATATATGATTAATGAAGTTATGATAAAGAATCCTGGGTTACACAATGCAAAAAGGATGATCTCTTTAGTAAATGGTATTGAGGAAACTAAACAGCCACATGCAAAGAAGGAAACTGGATCTCTGTCTGACACCACACAGAAAAATCAATTTAGAATGGATTAAAACCTTGATAATAGACCTTGATTATAAAACTCTTAGAAGTAAATATGTTTCCAACATTAGTTTTGGTGATGATTTTATGCATAGTACACCAAACAAAAAAGATGCAAATAAAATTAAATATAATCAACTATGTCAAACTAGAATTATTTTGCACAAAGGAAGCACTGTAGCACTGTTATAGCACTGTCGTCCCGTTGTTCATTAATTTGCTCAAGCTGGCTCCAGTAACATCTCCATTGTGAGACTTGTTCCTGTTTTTGACATATTGAATATGCCATGAGGAGCTTACCAGGTTTTGCTGTGCCAGTGGAATACTCTCAGTAGCTTGTCAGGCTCTCCAAGAGGGGCGGAGTAATCAAACCCGGGTCAGCCACGTGCAAGGCAAACGCCTTACCTGCTGTGCTATTGCTCCAGCACAAAGGAAAAATCAAAATATAAGGCAACCTATGGAATGGAGAGAAAATATTGGTGAAATGGTATGTGATAAGTGGTTAACACCCAAGTTACATAAATATCTCATATAACTCGTATCAAAAGAAGCCTTTGGAGCAAACTAAAAAGTAAAAACAATTAAGTTAAAAAATTGCCTAAGAACTGAACAAACATCTTTCCAAAGACATGGACAACTAATAAAAAGATACTCATTACTACGAATCATCAGGGAAAAGCAAATCAAAGTCACAATGAGAAAGTATTTTACAGCCATTAGAATAGCATTTATTAAAATAAAAAATAAGTATTGGCAAGGATATGCCTTTGCCTATTAATTTTAAAATCTGTGTCATTTCCGCTAAAGTTTCCATTCATTTTTTTTCTCATTAAAGTGAACACTTTCTTTTTCATTAAAATCCTGGTAATGTTTTTATTGAATGTTAGTCATTGTGAATTTTATATTACTGATGCCACATTTATGTATGTGTATTTTTTTATAACTGTACTTATATTTTGTTCTTGATCACTTGATCACTTGACATCATGATACTCATCGATTTGCTCAAGCGGACACCAGTAACATCTCTATTCATCCCTGTTGCATGCTAGTGTAGCCCAGTGGCATCTGCTTGTTCTAGGAACACGAAGAGCCTCAAACCGATCATTCAGGGTCTTGACAAAGAAGTCTGACCATCTCGTAGATGGGTGGTCACATGGTGTTTTGACATCCCCTGGAATCTAGTCAGTAATGGCTCTAGTTCAGCGGTTGTCTCCAAATCGCATTATGTGTCCAGCCCATCTGATTTTTGACGCCTTGGCAAACGAGGCAATGTCCCTGATTCTTGACCGTCGAGGGAGATTGGAAATCCAAATTCATTCTCTCCTTTGAGTGAAGCATCATAATCCAAGCATAGCTCTTTCGATTCCTCTTTGGGAGACCCGAATAGTGTTCTCATCCTGTTTTCATAGGGCCCAGGTCTCTGAAGCATATATTAATGCAGGAAGAACAGTGGAATTGAAGAGATGTGCCCAGAGCTGGAGGTTTTTCATCCCCTTAAAACTATTTCTTCAATGCTCTTGAAGGCATTCTAAGATGCTCTCTCCTCCTGTGCAACACAGGTGCCAGGTCATTCGTCATGTTGACTTCTCGACCTAGGTACACATAACTGCTGCATTTGGAGATGTTCGTTCCATTGAGAGAGAATGAAATGTCAGGAATGAGACTGTTTCTAATAAACATTGTCTTCATGAAATTCAGCTGCAGTCTGACATTTCCACACTCACGGTTGAACTCGGCCATTATCTGTGCCACTTGGCTAATGTTTGGTGTTATTAGAACGATGTCATCAGCAAAGCAGAGGTGGTGTAGTTGCCGACCATCTATCTTCACAACCATTCCTTCCCAATCTAGTCATCGCATGATGTCCTCGAGGGTAGCACTGAAGAGTTTCAGTGAAATGGTATCACCCTGCCGAACCCCCTTCTTGACATGGATGATCACTTCTTTGTAGAATAGTGAGATCCTGGTAGTAAATCCATAATACAGCTCAAGGAGGATCCTGATGTATTGAATTTGAACACGGTGTTTGGCTAGGGTTTCGATGACCGCTTCCGTCTCAACAGAATCAAAGGTCTTCTTTAAATCAATCAACATTAGACAGAGTGGCATCTTGAACTCCTGAGAAACCTCAGTGAGCTTGGTTATCATGAGGATATGGTCAATTGTGCTGAATTCTTTGCGGAACCCAGCTTACTAGCATTGTTGTCCTTCATCTAGTGTTCTGCCAATCCTATTCAGGATGACTCCAGTGAATAGCTTGTAGACGACAGACAACAGGTAGATCAGGCAATAGTTGCCAATATCGTGGATGTCTCCCTTTTTGTACAGTAGTACAGTCCTGCTAGTTTCCATTGGGATGGAACCTTGCATTCAGACAGGTAGCATGTGAAGAGCCCAGCCAGTGTATTGATGAGTACCAACGGCAGATTCTACAGGTGTTCGGGTCTGACCTTGTCTGGGCCAGGTGCTTTTCATTTCTTTACCAACGAAATGGCGTGTCATATTTCGGAAGGGACAACATTGGGAATGACATATCCATTCTGCGGAATTTGGTATATGGGTAGGTGGATGTGGCTATCGAAGAGATCCGAGTAGAAATCATGGATAATATCCATTGCCCTTCTGGAAGTTGTGATAGATCCTCAGGACGTCAGAGGGCAGTCATCTTGGTCTTGTAGTTGGCGAAGGACACACAGGTGTTGTGAATGCTTTTCCCAGCTTCTGCCACATCGGCCACCACTGCTGCTCTTCTCTCTTTGAGGTCTTCCTTGATGGCTTCTCTGCACTGCTTTGTGAGCTTGGACATTCGCTTGCGGTTGCCTGAGGCTTGCACCAAGCCACAATAGTGAATGATCTCAAGAGTTTTCAAAGACAGGCCTCTTTTTGAGGTTATCTCTCGGCGTTCCTCGCACAATCATGGAGGTGCTGAACCAGTCGATCATATTCCTTGTCAATTTTGGCAATGATGGCATCTTCCCATGTTTCTGCAATAGGGCCAAAGAGCTCCCAGTTGGTGGTGATTCTGGGAGTTCTCTTCTTAAACTTTGCAGCCCTTTCTCCCTGCTCTGTGAAGTAGAATTTTGCAAGAAGGAGATGGTGGTCCGATCCTGTTTGGAATTTTGGGACAACAGCGACATCGGTCAGGCAAAACCGTCGATTGAATATGATGTGGTCAACTTAGTTGTGGAACCATCCACCGGGAGACTCCCACGTCCAACGTTTAGATTCGGCCTTCTGGAACTGTGAGATACCATGGATGGTCTTAGTCGACATGATGAACTCAGACAGTCCCTCACCCTGTTCGTTCCATTCTAGGCCATGGGTCCCGATGTGGAGTTCTCTGGCTGATCTTCTCGGACCTATCTTGGCATTAAAATCACCAACAATGATCTTGTAGAAGGTGTGGTCTTCTTTAAGAACTTCTCCAGCTCCATGTAGAACTTCTCAAATTCTCCTTCATCATAATTGGATGTTGGTGCGTAGACAACGAAGATAGAAACTGCCAGCAGTGAGCCACATCTATTCAAGTGTAACCGTCTGAATCGGGTTGTTAGGCATTCGAATGAATGGATGCTCATGGCCAAGTTCATGTTGACAAAGACACTGACACTTACAACGCCTCTTTTGTCTCATGTTCTGAGGAACAGTTCTCCAGTGTTGAA